TCGCGCAAAAAGGTGCAGGACCTATTTTCGGGTGGTTTTTGTGCAGTTTTGGTCCCATAAACATCTCTATGCATTGAAAACAGCGTGTTTCCAAAGCAAAATCGCACAAAAACAGCTTATCAGCTCAATCGCATAGGTGTGAACCGGGCATCAAAGAATACTTTGCATTGCTCAAAAAAAATAAATGAAAGGGAAATGGAATGGCCTTCTGCATACAGGGCAACCCTCTCATCCAATATGCAGTCCAGAAAATGATGGAGTAGATCGAAGTGCTTTTGATATTGTTGCCATGACTATTGTATATAAAGCTGGTGGGCCCATCTGCATCTGCGTGCCATGTCAATAGACATGCGTTAGCATGCGTTATGTAATGGATAACAACAATAACTTGCATTGTTGCACATGCTACCATAGGACAGCAGAATGCATTTGGCTGGATGGAAAGGAAGGCTGCCAAGATGACACCAGGTAATTGTTCATGGGATCTCTGGTGCAGACGAGTGCCTGGGGATTAATGCTTTTGCGATTGCAACATGCAACATGCACATGTAAGTATTACAGAAACAATCTCCAAGACAACCTCAGAAGAAAATCTTAACTTACCTCACACTACTTGTACCTGCTCAGTCCTGCAATCTAGCTATGTCCCAATGTATTAAAATTGGCTAGTGAGTTGTCAGGCAAGGCATCTACAGATTAGCCCTAAAGAATCGACCTCCTGACTCCAATCAAAAGATTGCCTTCAGTTGCCAACTCTCAAGAGGTCAATTCTCAATTTATAGCAGAAGGAGGAAGAGCTGTGGGTTTTGATCTTATAACTGGGTCTGTAAACCTGGGTATGAACTAGATTTTTTGGTTGATACAAAAAAAAAAAAAATCTAATTGGAACATTCAATAATGGCATCAGAGACTTGAAGAAAATTGCTCAAAATGTCATTTGATTTAAAAATAAATAGAAAAAATAGAAGCATGATGCATCCAGGCATCAATCCGAACCTCCAAAGCACCAAAATGCATGCAAACGCATGTAGACACAAGATGCAACCATTGCATAATTTTCCTTGGCTAATCCAAAGGACTGTTTCAATGGACAACGTTTAAATGTTTAATGTTTAAATTAGAAAAAAGGTGATCGGCAATCTCTCTGGCTCTACCGTCTATGGTTAATAGTTGATTTCCCTAAAAAATGGAAGTCCTCTCAGATAGCTGATTAGATGTTTCTGCCTCTCAATGATTTACATCATTCACGTAATAAAACGTACAGAACAGCCGCTGGTCCATTTGCAATATTGACGGCTTCAAAACACATCAAATTGGCCACTTTTGTTCTTTCTGATGCTGGTAGACTGGGAAGCTGTGAAGAGAAAGACATTTGTCACTGTGTCTAAATAATGCTGAAAATTTGTCCATCTTAGTGAATTCCTACCCCTAATGTGCAGCAGATTTCACCAATCAGGAATCCCTGACCCCTCTAAAGGTGCCCATACACTGCTCGATTCTCGTACGAGAATCGCGGGAAATCCCGCGATCGTACGAGAATCGAGCAGTGTGAACGAAGACGTGCAACCGTTTCTACTGTACGGTCGCACGTCTTTTGTCTAAGGAGCACGCTAGAAAACCAGCCGAAAATCGTACGATTTTCGGCTGGTTTGAACGGTGTTTGGGAGACAAATGCCGAACGGGCCAGTGTGCGCACGCGCACACTGCCCGTTCAGCATTGCGGTCATCGGAAGCCCGCCCCTCGGGGGGGCGGGCTTGCGATGATCGAGAGTACGATCTGCCTGTCCAAGATGGGCAGATCGTACGTTTTTTTAATCACTTTACAACCATCACGATGGTTGTACAGTGTATGGCCACCTTTATGGTTAGTAGAAGCATTACACAAGATTAACATATCCTTCAAGCACTACTTTCTCAACCATTGCAGTGGGGATACCTTTGCACTGAAAAGGTTAAGTGCTCATTTGAGTCTAGGTGCTAAAATGAAAAGTTATACTCACCCGAACCGTGGAGCCAGCTGGCAGCTACTCTGGTCCCTGAAGCCTTTTGTCATGTCCTATACAATATATAGAATGTGATGACAGAGGCTCCAGGGACTGGTCTAAGAGTAAGCTGGCTCTCAGGATCGGGTGAGCATAACTTTTTTTTTCGCACCTAGACACAAACGAGTACAAACAAGCACAAATTAGATAATTTCTAATGCTCTTTTACTTCTCAAGGAATTCAAGGGCTACTGTTTTCCTTATGAAACCACTGATTAGGTAGATATAGTGAATGCAGTGCCTTCCGCCTAGCAGTCAGTTTGCTTTAACTGCTGGCGTCACTTCTGGCCTGTCCGGTGGCAGAAGAGGCCATGTGTGCAGGTAAGAGGAGCTAGGAAGGAAGGAAGGAAAGGAGGAGGGGGGATGCAGCCCTTACCAGCCCACCTGAGACCTGTTCAGAGCCCACCATAGACAGTCTCAGATGGGCTAGCAGCATCTATGGTGGGCTCTGCAGGGTCAGTCTCAGGTGGGTCCTGTGTCCAGTTCGTCACTAAGCCCTGCGTCCAGCACGTCACTAAGCCCCGTGTACAGAGGCGGGGGGCCCGGCCTAAAGCCGTGTAAGGGGCCCCAAAATTTCTGATGGCTGCCCTGCACCAGATGAATGAATAGACTATATTTGAAGGTCTAAGATAGTAATGTTTCCAAGCATGCAATGTAGATTAACATGTGGTCATGTTACTGTCAGCCATGACACTCGTAGGTTGTGGAGGAGAAGGGTGGTACATTACACACAATACGTCATAGCTGGTAGGGAACACAGAACAATATAGTGCTATAACCAGAATGACCACAAGATGGCAGCACATGAATTAGCCATACAATATCAATGAGAAAATGGCTTAAGGAAAATAAACTATCAGCGTTATTCACAATGGGTGAAGAGTTTGGGGAAGACAGGAGAAGTGAACAATCTAGGACACAATAGCTGATTTAGAAACATTTCCAGTTCAGCTATGTTAACCTAGATTGTTCACTTCTCCTGCCTTCCCCAAACTCTTCACCCTTTCGTGAATAGCCCTGTATATAAATTATCATCTCACATTTGTATAAATATTAACTATGATTATGAATGGTCATATTTTATACAACTATTGTGGCAGCAAAATGTACTGTATATAGGTTAAAATCTGCACTATTGTTTTACTTCAATTTTAACTATGCATTATAGCTCACTTGGATAGTATTTTCATCCTTAAGAAAATATAACATTCTTTGTTTACTTATCCTCTCCAAGAAGTCATGGAGATCAAGGTCCACCCCTGAGAATAAACAGGTTCAGTGGTTAACACCACGGTCTCTTGGTCTCCTGGTCTGCAATGCAGAATGAATGTTTACCGACTGCCACTACAAATACTATTTCCCCCAGGGAGAAATAATTGATTGTAGTATTGTACTACTTATTCACTTATGACCTGTAGAAATATTTAGGAAAGAAGAAGAATTAGAACATTGCTATGCCAGGCAGAGTACAGAGATGGTGGCATATCGGCAGATGTCATGTATGACACCTCCTAGGACTCCCAATCTTACTGTTACCATTTTTATCCATTAAATTGTGCCTAACTTGATAAAAATGGGTCTGTTTAATTGAGTTGGGGTGGAGCTTTTGAACACTGTAGGTGAAGTTTATTTATTCCTTTAAAGTAGTCAGAGACTGTCTACCCTAATGGCTCAATGTCCACAAGCAGATCCAGTATAAAACAATCCAGTAATTATTTAAAATGTGACTTAAGCTCCACCATGACTCCTTTCTTTAATGAAGATGTGTGTAACACTACAGTAGGCGCATTACTTACCATCAGGGGCGTAGATAAGGGGGGGATAGGGGGGTCCCCCCCCTGCAATCAGGTAGCAGGGGAGGAGGGGGGTTTGTATTATCTGTTTTTAGTCTTAAGTCCACTTTGTTGCAAAGTCCAGAGTCTAGTGCTTTCCTATGCTCCAAGTCTAGTGTGTTCCTAAGTGTATGCGCACACCTAGACGACACATCACCGCACGATTCCGCTATAGCCCACCTGAGACTCTCCACAGCCCTCCTGAGTAGGGTTGCAGCTAACGATTATTTTCAAATAAATTAGTTAGCTGATTATTAAGTTTGATTAATCGGATTTAAAAAAAAGCTCCAGTGATGGACTACTAGTTTGTATTGAGATTGTAGTCCATCACGGGGGCAAGCTTGGAGCGGTGGAAGTAGAAATGTGCAATATAGTACATTATACAGCGCCGCAATGCAGAATACCAGCAGCTATAGAGGAATACAACAAATTGCAGAATTAGTACATTATACTATAATGTACTATTGCTGGGATTTGTAGTCCTATGTAGCTGGCGTTATTCTGAATTGTGCTGTATAATTTATTATTGCTGGGATTTGTAGTCCTCTATAGCTGGTCGTATTCTGCAGTGCGCTGTATAAGGATTATACTGCACAATACAGAATACCAGCAGCTATATAGGAATACAACAAATCCCAGCAATAGCACATTATACAATAATGTACTATTGCTGGGATTTGTAGTCCTCTGTAGCTGGTGGTATTCTGCATTGCACTGTATAATTTATTATTGCTGGGATTTGTAGTCCTCTATAGCTGGTGGTATTCTGCTTTGCGCTGTATAATGATTATACGGCACAATACAGAATACCACTGACCAGTTATAGAGGAACACCAAATCATAGCATTAGTACATTATACAGGCTGTTTAATGTATTATTGCTGTCATTTGTTGTTCCTCTATAGCTGCTGGTGTTCTGCAGTGTGGCGCTATATAATACAGCGGCACAATGCAGAATACCACGACCAGTTATATATATATATTTTCAAACAGGAACATTAAAAAGTTTTAGATTCTCCCCATGGTGGTGGTGTTGGGGGGTTCCTTCCTTTCAGTAATGTATGTAACTTCATATTATTATATATTATTCATATTATTCTGCGTTGGTATATAATGTATTCCTGAGATTTGTAGTCCTCTATAGTTGTTGGTATTCTGTATTGCTTTATAATATATTGCTATGTGTTGGGCCTCCATGGTGGATCAGTGGCTTTAGACTCGCTTCTGTTCTCCTTTCTCTTGGTGCGGCAGCACCCCTCCTAAACCACCATGGAGTGTAGGCTTGAAATCACTCAAGTCTCTCCTCCATGACAGATTAGAAGGGGCAATGTCTTGAAAATTGAAACAAGCCTAGGCTCCTAAATTAACAAAGCAGCACTGGAGAATGAGGGGATTTGAAGGTGGATCAGTAAGGGAAAACATAGGCAAGGGAACAGTTTGTCTAGAGCATTGAACTATGGATTTATTTGTGGGGGGCGCTAATGAAAGACTTTCCCACAGGCGCCTAATTTTTTACCCAAATAGAGCTTTCTTTTGGTGCTATTTGATCGCCGCTGGTTTTTATTTATTTCATTTTTTTATATAAATGAATAAAAAAAATTGTGGGAAATAAATATTTTCAACTTTTTGTTATACAAAATATCAAATAAAATCAAATTTCTTCATAAAATTAGGCCAACATTTATTCTGCTAAATGTTTTTGGTAAAAAAAAAAAATCCCAATAAGTGTATACTAAGTGGTTTGTGTGAATTGGTACCAATTATAAGTCTTTTGAAAACATGGTTTTTATCCATATGGTGTCGAACAACAAAATCGGTATTGCTCAGGGTAAAGGATTGGTTTAGGAATGATATGGCTGGTATATTTTTTTCAAACCTTGGTGTGTCTGCTAGATAAAATCTTATAATTTGAGGAAGCTGAACCCCCCCCAGCAAAAAAAATTATCTACGGCCCTGCTTACCATATAAGATAAAGTGCCTGTGTGTTCTTTAATCTCAAAGAATCCTGAGATGCCCATTTCTGCCAGACCAAAGTCAGCTATCCGTGTGTGGCCAGCACTCTTCAGATCCCAGTAAAAAAAGAAAAGAATGGAGAGTATGCACTGTGTGTCAGAGAGTAATTAAATAGTAAAAAAAAATCCTAATAAATATAAAAAACAAATTCCTTTACTGTGTATTATTTTATTGGATTGCAGTTACTGCATGCTACAAAAGATTGTAAGTGAGGTTCTTAACCCTTTCGCTGCCAAGGCCTTTTTCCATTTTTTTGCACACATGATATAATCCACATTTTAGGCCTGAAAATTACTTTACACCCCCCTAAAACATTATATATTTTCTGAAAGCCAAAATGAACAAAATGGTGGCAAATTTTTATGTTGCATATTAGTGCAACTCTTTGTCAAACCCAAAAATGTTGAGAAAAAAGCACCTCATTTAAATTTAGTGCACCAAAACACAATATAATACCCATTTTTTGTAAAATATAAAAGACGAGGTTATAACTAGTAAATAGATCCCTAACTTGCCCAGGTTCAAAATTGTGTGCTCCAAAAAAAGCACCGACCAGCGCCAAAAGAAACCTTCCCATGGCCCAATAAGCTTCTTAAAATCCAGTATTGCTGGAACAGCTGACAAAGCGTTGGAATGCTTCACCGACTGGCGATCACACATTCCACCGCCAAAAAACTGGGCGGGATTACGTTAAAATGTGTGACCACGTCAACAACCCACGTAGTCACAACCTTTGATAGAACAGCGACCGTGAGATGGAGCTGTTAGTCACAGGACCCCGCCCCCTTGCTGAGAAGCCCGTCGGCAGTGCAGGGCCACAGGGACCCTGCAGTATACTGTGCCATATTCCACCAAGGGAAGTGCCCAGGACCGCACCTCACTGGGGCCCCCCACAACCTACGGCACTGGTGCAGCCGCAGAAGTTCCGCCCCTGTAAAACCTCTTCCTGTCCAGGCCATTTTTCAGTGTTCAGCGCTGCGATACTTTGATATTTATTCCGTCATACAACGCTGTACTGAAATTAATTTTATACCATTTTTTGGGCACAGATAGATAGAGCTTTCTTTTGGTCGTATTTAATCACCACTGGAATCTTAATTTTTTTACTATATAACAAAAAAAGTATCCTAAATTTTGAAAAAAAATCTGTTTCCCTATGAAATGTTATGAAACATTTATTATCACCCCAATTGTTTGGTAAAATATAAAAGACGGGGTCACATTGGGTAAATAGACACCAAACATGTCAAGCCTAAAAATGCAAAAATGCAAAATCGCAGAAAATGACCATACCCAAAATTGGCCATAGGCGATGCTTTAAAAGCTTTTACCGCTTTTTACCGCACTCAGATGAGTGTTATCAGTGATTAATGGCCCTAAAGTTATTGCTCTCACTCGGACGTTTGCGTCGACGCACCAAACACAAGCGATCGCTTGAATGTAAACATTGCTATCTGTTTACATGTCTGACAGTTTCCCCACTCGTGTGCGCGCCGCACACGAGCGAGGGGAGGGGAAGGACGTCTTAAGACGCCCTCCCGCTCCTATAAGGCTCCTGTCCGGTCGTTCAGGAACGGCCATGGACGGGAGGTGGTTAACAAAAAATATATATAATAAATATTTTAGGGGGTCTGCATCATTGTGGAGAGCGGTAATGGCAAAAGATGGAAAAAAGTAGATGATGACATCTGCAGATGCTGCAGATTTGTCGACTGCAAACATCCATAATGCAAATCTTCTGTTCCACCACATCCCAAAGGTGCTCTGTTGGATTGAGATCTGGTGACTGTGGAGGTCGTTTGAGTACAGTGGTCCCATTATAATGTTCAATAAACCAGTTTGCGATTTTTGCTTTGTGACATGGAGCGCTATCCTGCTGGAAGTAGCCATTAGATGAGTACACTGGGGTCATAAAGGGATGGACATGGTCAGCATCAATACTCAAGTAGGCTGTGGCATTTAAATGATACTTAGTTGGTACTAAGGGGCCCTAGAAAATATCCCCACCACCATTACACCACCACCAGCCTGAATCGTAGATACATATACATTTATTGCAGATAAAAGTCACATTCACTGGTCTGAGCTCCTCCTTCTGTTTTTCACCCGCAATAGGGCTTAGACATAGAGTGAGAGGAAGTTTTAGGGCTTATGCACCTTGCCATCTGAAACAGCGTACAGTGCAAAGGCGCACTATTGATTACTAGGTCTCTAGGCGGCTTGCGTGTGCATCCTAGTTAAGAAGAACGCTAGATGGCTGAAACCACAGCAAGCTAGCAACAAAAGACATTAGTCGGCTCCTACCTCCTAGCATCCTTTGTTGTAGAACACAGGCAGCTCCAATAAAGTGCACTTAATTTGTAAGCTGTACGCATTTTAATGTTAATACAAACATTTACATGGGTATAGTGTAAACTAGTCTTTTAAATATACCATTGAAGATTTTTTTGTTATATCTCTTGTTAAATCTACTGAGCTGATCATTTCCCCTGCTCTGTGCCGGCACTTATGTTATCATGTACATTATTGCAAGACAAGATGGAGAAGTGTTCTATATAATTTGTCAGTACATTGAGTTCAACCAATAGATGGATAGGAAGTCCTAATTCACTCCCTGTCCCAGAGTGACAACTTTAGTCCATAGTTACAGTACATTGAGTGGGTGTTGTCACCTACGAAAAGTGTGTTAGTGGCAGAATTACCAGGTGAAAATAAAGGGGAAAAAAAGCCTGACAAATGGAAAGTGATGCAGTCGCTGCATCTAAGGACTGGTAAGTTGTAGTAAACCATTTTTGTTCTTGGGTTTAGAAACACTTTTAAGCAGAACTGAAGTTAAGAAAAAAAAATCTGCTAGGAGGAAGATGCAAAGTCTCTAGAGGCAACAAAGTTTTCTTCTTGCTCCAAGCAGTTTATTTATTTTGTGTATACTGCCAAAAAGGTGATATACAAGTAACAATGTAAATTTACAGGCACATATTAAAATAAAATATATATATAAAAAGAGAGAGAGGGATTAATAAAGCTTTTTATATGAAAGTAAAATCTGAAGGTGTTCCACATTACCAAAGGCATGTTATGGGCATATTTACAAAGCAGGGAATCTGATATTCAAAATTCACTGCAAGTGAATCTTCCAGGTGCATGTTTTAATAACATTGATTCGCCAGTAAATGTTCGGTGACAGTAACCGCTTTATAAATATGTATATCCTTATTAAAAAAAATATCCCGCTTCTTCATAAAAAAACAGCCTCATGTCACAAATACTTGGCATATTGCTACAGATCTCTGTTCTGTAGCTTATTACTTATTTCCGTTGCTTACATTTTTAATAATAAGTGCCATATGGGAGGTTCTGCATAACCAAATGCTAAATCTCAGAACTTTATGACATTTTACTGTACTTGGACATTCAAACAAGTTTTCATCTAAAGACATGTTGAAGATGCAGATTTCATGCTAGATTGAATACATTTCATCCTGAGGCTCTGTGAGTAGTACCATGAATGCATCCTAACTAGGAACTGTCAGCTGCTCTAATGCAGTACATTTAAATATTAATTTTATTAAGCAGTTACGGAAAACGGTTGTCATTTTAACAAATGGGGACATTTTCAAGCCAAACTCCGGGCAAAACCTTTTTTGTGTTGAGTGGGGAAGGGGAATAAAATGAGGGAATAGTGATGTGAATTTGAAAAAAAACAATTAAAATAAGTAAGCAAATTGATGAGATTCATGTAAACACTCAATTCCAATGCAGTATTAGAGATTTGATGCCAATATATTAAATATTATTGTTAAACATATTTAAAAAAAGTTAAAAATTGTGGTGGAGGAAATTTAGAGAACATAGATTAGTTTAAATTCGATGGAGGTCTGAATGAAAAATGGCAGCAAATAAATATCAATAATAGGAATAAATAGATTGTAATAAAAAGGTAGAAATAATATATTTGCAGTATTAGAATCTGCCCCAGCAGAAAGGAGATCAAGAAAGGGTTAAATTATGGGGGCATGCCGTTATTTGAAGTGAAGAATCGCACTAGTAACTAACGCAATTGAGCATCAGTTACATGAGATGCGGTGACGTCACTGATGCAAAAACCACTTGGATGCGGGGCTATAAATAGGAGTTGAGCCGCACTTTGTTTGAAGCACTGGCACCGAGCACTTTAAGCATTATCCCCTGGTGAAGCCATGACTCTTGTGCAGAAACATGTTGGGGAAAATACTAAGGGGGTACATTTAAAACACTAGTTAGTGGTGGAAGGCCCAGCAGGAAAACATTTTTTGAGAGGAAAGTAGGAAGAAAAAAAAACAGAAAGTATGAATCCATAAAGAAAGACAGAGCAAAACTACAGGGCAACCATTATAGGAAATTGTCACATATTATAAAGTTAACACGCAAATATCAAAAAATTCATACACAAAAATGTATTTATTAGGTACAAAAGGAAAAAGGTTTTGAAAGTGGGTAAAAGTGCTGGATAAGCACTACTAATTTAAACTAGAGTGGGGAATGGGGTCCAATATCTGTCAGGTTTTATGGTTGTTTCCAATGGGAAGATTCACCCTCACTTCCTGTGCCTGTGACATGGGGGGTGATTTACTAACCTAAACACACGCACGAGGTGCGTGTGCATTTTTACACAGCAAAACATATTTATCAACCAAACACGAGCAACGTGTCACATTTTCATGCCGTTATGGCGCGTTTTTATGTATTTACGTACGTGCGCGTCATGTAGCATGCGCCATAGGCTACACGCCGCTCTAATAGCGGCATGCAAGTCACTAAAAGCATATTTCCACTAATGCCATATATAGAAAAATCATGCACATGATGCATATATAATGCTGCTTCACAGTTTAGACAAAAATGGTTAGCTCATGCATTTACATTCCTGCATTCATCAGCGCAAGCAACACAATGTAGAGCTAATTTACACAACATCACCTTGCAATTCATGCAGGGCTTTGCACAACTCACCTGCTGGGTGTGTACACACTACAAAGGTGTCTAGATTCCCCCAATAGATCATGCTGGGAGGGAACACACTACAGAGGTGTATACTTGTTCGTGGCGTGTTTATAAGGTTAGTAAATCAACCCCATGGTGTCAGAAGAAAGTTATAACAACCTCACCACTCTAACCCCTCCCCTACTTTAGACATAAATGATAAAAAAAAAAAAAGCTTGGGCTTCAGTTGTGCTTTAACAAAAATATATTACAAAACAGCTTGTTTAGCGCTTATTCATTTTATACAATTTAAAACCTTTTATGCTTACAACACTTTTTCCTACCATTCTGATTCTTTCCTACGCTTGGTCAGGCCTGGACAAGGTCACTGTATCACTATAATACTGGGGGATTAAATACATGGAGATTATTATTGGTTCATGGGATTCACTGTTGAGTGGCCCCATTAGTGTGTCTTACACTTGCAAAAGCTATTGAAACATACTTCACTATCAATGCGCCATCTGTAGCCATTGGAAAGTCCACTAACTGAAGGGTCCTATCTTACAAGGAACTTAATCCTCCCGTCCCATCGCACTCCTGACCGGACAAAAACCCAAATCCAACTGGGTGGGTGCCTCCGTGAAATGTAGATAGATGAAAGTAGTCACTCGCACTCCATGATATTAAAGTCAATGCTGTTTATTGACTGAGATAACACACATCTCCTTTGCTAAGGAGATGTGTGTTATCTCAGTCAATAAACAGCATTGACTTTAATATCATGGTGTGCTAGTGACTACTTTCATTTATATATCTTACAAGGAGCCACAAAAATATGGCCTGCTTAAGCAATCAGAAGAATAATTTATACGTTACTCTGCACAATTCAAGTCTGTTAAATATACCATTGAAAGTGTTTTGTTATATCTGGTTGATAAGTGCAAAAAAATTAAAATATGTTTGCACTTACGGTAAAAACATTTTTTCCAAGTATATTGAGGGATACAGGAATTTAGGTATTTAATTACAGTTGGGTTATACTGCCACCTACATGTGGTTGGGACACTGGCAAACAAAAAAACATTACAAGCCAACTTCTCTATAACCCCTCCTCAAGCCAGCATGCCTCATTTTTTTGGACAAGCAGTACATAGGAACAACAAACACAGAGGGGTGGGACCTGTATCTTTTAATGGACTTGAACAAAAATATTTTATGGCAAGTACACAAATGTTATTTTTTTTATTGTGCATAGAGGGACAAAGGAATTTAGGAATTCTATTACAGTATTTAAAAAGAATCAGCTCTTGAATCAAGCTAAATGGGGAGAAAATCTTCAAAAAGGCAGAGGAACTGCTATGACCAGGAGGATGACAGATGATCAACCTGATGTTTCTCAGCGGGAAAGGAGAAAAAACACTGCCAAAAGGTAACTCCTGACTGAAGTAGCAATGGACCCCTTCCAATGAGACTGGAGAGCTAACCAGCAAATCCACCAAGATCACAGGTGAAAAAAAACACTGCCTGACCTAAAAGGTGAGCAAAACAGACCAACAGAGGGGAATAATTTACTGGTTCCAGACCCAGGAGAGAAAACAAATCGCTAAAGGTAAGTCCACAGAAAAGACCAGCCAGTAAAAAATAAGGACGATGGGTCAAGCCCTGTATTCTTAACCATAGAAGCAGAGTGAGAGGTTCCAACATGAGGAAAGGACTGTGCAGCGTATCAACTCATATTATAATAAGATAGCAAAGTTGTGGGAGCCCGCATAATATACAATCCCAATGGATATCCCAAAGAGAACTTCCTAAGCCTGGAGGAACCAGTCTGATGCATTCTGAAGTGGAAGGTAAAGCAGACAAGCAGAACCGTTAAAAGAAAGGAGATAGCCAGGGCTGAGGCTCCCTCATAACTCGAGTGTTGCATATAAGCATCCGATCAGAAGGATGAATAGATTTTTCCACCTGACATGTAGACTGTACCCAAGGATAGAAAGAGAACATTGCACACCTGTGTAACTAGTGCCGCAACACATGATTCTAGGAATCAGCAAACCTGCCCTGAACCCCTGCCTCATGCTTTACTGAGGAACTCTGTTTACTAGGAGCACTCTCCTGATTGGGAGCAAGAAGGAAGGAAATAGAAGGTATTTCCTTAAGAGCATCTGTAGATGAATGACCCAGCTCCTGGTGATCAGGTCCTACAAAAGGTCCGGATATACACTATCCACCACAGGGGATAGTTGTAGCAGTATCCTAGCGCAATCCACTTGCTAACTGTGCATTGTAATACAGGGCCATCCCCACAAAGGATATTTCCTGCTTAACAGGAAAAGGGGGAGCACGCAGGTTCTAAAGCCTAACCCTCAGCAACGGAGAACCAGAATTCAAAGAATTGACAGCAGGAGAAGCAGCGTGGCCAATAGTGACGAGCAAAGTTCCCAAACCTTCCCAGGAGGAGAATGTCCCATAGCATTCAGGAGTTTTCCAATGATTCACTGAAGGATACCTCAAAGAATTAGAATTTGCCTGTACTGGTGAAACAGATAAACGTCTCAACTGTGGACACCACACAAAGAAGCCTCCCCAGGGTGGCATGAAGGCATCCCAAGGGAGAGACTGAAATGGCACCTGAGACCTCTTGTTTTAAATCATCATCTGGATGCCTCTCCTTGAAGTCCAAACATTGAAAGGGAGACCGATAGTGGTTGAGAGCTCCCAAGAGAAGGGAAGACCATGGTAGAAAGGCAATTCCTATATACACCAAGAGAGATCTTTTAAAACACACACACACACACACACACACACACAATTAACAAGAATTACACTCCAATATTATATCATGTTTATTGATATTAAAACATGATGTAAGAATACTTCAGACAATGGGATTAAAGTGTTAAAAGCAAATGAAGATGTACTTAGCAACTTCTGATGTAATTGACAACTCACCTTGTAACACTTTATCGTTTTTGAAAGTTATTTAAACAACCGTCATTCACAGTTTATTGAATTGAACAAAAATACTGTGCACTAGAATAGATCATTGGAATCTGGTTGTTGTAAACATTCTACTTTCCCTTTTCCTTAATTTTCATTACTTGGTGTTGTCTCCCAAATCAGCTGAAATAAGAATGACATGTGTAGTACCACAGCACCCAATCAGATTCTCTCTTTAATTCTCCAATTTACACATTTCAGGGCAGATGGCACCTAAAAGGTGTCTATAAAGCAGCACAGTTTTTTCAGACACTTTAAGGCTCTCAGCGCATAGCATGCAGTGCTTCTAACACTGAGGTGAAAAATCTTTAGACTTTCTTGTAGTGAAAGCTTTGCCACCAAATAATAAATACTTCAAGGAGAAAGACAATGATAACATCAGCCTCTGAAAATGCAGCAGATATATATATATATATATAATCAATATTTTCAAGCTCAAGACAAGCCTTTGAACACAGTAGTAACTTGTCTCTGTCATTATACACACACACACAGAACAAGCACAATAACCCAGAGACATGGAGTGCAATCTGTTTTGCATTAAAAAGACAAATGTTTGTCCATAGAAGACATCCTTCTATCTTCAGCTGTGCATCTGTACAGTCTGTTCTTTTGAATCTTTCTCTTCTTTGCTACTTATATTCTTCAGGTTTTCAAGTGCTCGATCTACAAAGAATGTTATCTCCAGTCCAGATTTTTCATGAAGCCATGACTCAACCTGCTTTTTCATCTGTAGAACAGTTTCAGAATCTTGACGAATAAAAAAAATAAATAAAAAAAAATTGTTAATAATGTACTGTACAACTTCAAATGCAACAAACTTTGGCACTCATCTATAGTCATGAATGTATGCAGCACTTGAGTAATATATCATGTATGCTGGGCTACACACTACAAAAGTGTTAGGATGAGCTCCTTGACAATACAAAGGCTGGAGGGAGGATTCAGACTAAAACCATATCAAAATTATACAAATGCTTTGTTTACAAAATGAATTGAAATAATTGACTAAATGGGGTATTGTGAAATCAGGATTCAGACTCGTCAGTTATAACATCCTATATACATTGGCACCTAATGCATGTTTTTGATGAATACTAAGAACGCCTTAATGTCGCTGTCAATACTACCAATGTTGGAATATGCATGAACACCCAGCTTATCATTCATAGCTTTGTGCTGCACTGAAATTAACACAGATCAAGACCTCTATTCGCATTAATATTGCACCTCAATGCTTTGGAATGGTAATCTATAATGTCCACCAAGGTTAGAGTGCTGAAGACTAGGTTGAAGAACTGTCAGGTGCAGGGTAGAAACCAGCACTTGTATGTCCTAAAACCTTAATCTGAAAATCTGAAATACAATTTAAATGTATCCGTGTTAATTCTTTCCTTCATAAGCTGACATTTGAATGGACAGCAGGCTCCTCTAGATGCCTGCAATTAACATCAGCTTAATTCAGAGCCCCAGAAGGTCCTAATAAGCCAACATCAACAAACAAAAAAGCAGTCAAACCTTCCTGGCTAACGCTGACATTTGATTAACAGTGCCCCCCTGGGTTTCTAGGATGCTCTGAAAAGAAGCAAATGTTACCTGCAGGCACGCAGAACCTGGTAACCGTCCAGCAAGGTAAGAGTTTGGTAAATGTTAACTATAAAATGTTAAAGCTGAAATCCAGACATGTTAGGAAAATGAATGAAGTTAAATGATAAAAAACAAATAACCCCTTGGCTACCAAGGATGGACATGTCATTAAATCCAAAAGGTTAAGCAATAGCTTCCCTAAGCTTATTCTAAAAATATTCTTCTTGCCTTCCTCTTTTTAGAAGAAGTGATTCAGAAGCCTATAAAACCACCTGTTCACTTCTACAGACCGGCAAAACGCCGCCCCCAGTCCCGGGGCTGCCCTAGTGCCTTTTCTACCTGAGCCAAAAATAAAAGGAAATTATTAGATCCAGCATTTAGGTTGAACTCTAAACTGGTGAGCTGTAAACATTTTAAATGTGTTCTCTAGTTACAATTTTGTAGTTTTTCAAGCATGTCCAGTTTTAAAGCTGTATATATTTGTTTATAATTAACTCAATACAGTCTCACCTTTCCATTTAGTGGACAATTTGGAACTTATATTGTGTCTGTGTACAGAAAATGTATGTTTTGTAAACGCTTCAGCAAACATGCAACATACAAAACGGAGACAATTACTATTGATTTATAGGTCCTCTTGTCTGCAGAAAACATTTCTTTATTTTGTGGGAGAAATTTGAGCAATTTGTGGCAGGAAAAAAAAAATGGAAAAACTTTTCAGGCAGTGAAGGGATTTAGGGGCCGTCATATCCCAAAGTGATATTTTACTTAAAAATGGAGCATTTTAGTTCAATGTCTCAGATCAGGGGATGGCAACCTCGGCACTCCAACTGAGCTGAAACTACATGCCTGTGGCTAAGGCATAGAAATAAAACATCGCTCCTCCACGGCTTCCTTCCTATTCCTTTACTATATGCCTGTGGCTATCAGAGTCTTGCAATGCCACATGGGACAATGCCACAACAGCTGGAATGCCAAGGTTGCCTACCCCATCTGAAATACTCCAAACACCCAGATCTCCCTGACTCCGTTCCTGTCCATTCGGGAATGTTGGGTATTCCCACACAGTACTGCACGCTCCGGCATCTCTTGTTACATTCCTTATAATATAGTAGTGATGCACTGAAATTTAGGCCCTCGTCACATATCGGCTGAAAATAGCACTTTTGACAAAATGTCCAAAGTGCCATCTTTTCGGTCAAAATTGTGGTGCATCCCCAGTTTCTCTCCTCCGTGCTGTGTGCTGCTCTGTGTCCCCTCTGACAAAGTGCAGCATCCAGCGGGAAGAAGAGAAACTGTCAGGAGGCGAGAGGAGGACAGCGCTGTGAGCGTGTCACAGGAGGCTGAGCTCCCCTCCCGCATCGCCCAGCTTCCTGCACAGATCAGGAGAGTGGTGTGGAGGCGGAGACAGCTGTCACTGGAGACCGAGCCAGCGGTGAGGGGGAGGAGTCGGCTGTCAAATGAGACCGAGCTCTCCTCCCCGCACTGCTGACTCAGCTGTGACAGCGAGTCAGGATGCAGAGCGCTATACAAACATTCTGCGATCACTGATTGCTGACTGTAAATAAATGGACATAGTATGAGTTACTATGTACCAGTTATGAATGAATAGGAAGCAAATTACATCACTTCCTGTTTATTCACGATTGTGTACATGGTAAACATACTATATCCACAATTTATTGATGAACAGCAACACTCGGCATAGAGAATTCCTGTACATTTATAACACGGGCTGCAGAAAAAGAGATTGTGGACTCTGTGGACTCAATCTCTTTTTCTATTTTAAAGCTGAACTATCAGGTGTCTGTTTAGACCCCTAATTTTTCACCGAAGCCCCTAGCAGTAAACAAATAGTTAAACATGAATATTAAAAAAATAAAACGTTATTAATTAAATATTAATTTTAAAAAATTATAATTTTTTGTTTCGGTTTTGGCCTGACATTTGTTTATTTTTGGTTTCAAAATTTTCATTTCAGTGCATCACTATAATATAGTATAAATAAATAACTCGAACACAAGAGTAAAACTGAAGCCACAGGTTTCATGATCCAAAAACTCTAGAGATGACAATAGATTTGCAATATATAGAAAATTGTCAGGTGGTACAACTGAGGTATTTAATGAAAACTGGAATCTGCATGTTGGGTGGAAGTTCCTGAATATGACTTGATATTAACCGCCTGTAATCCATTGCACAGCATGACTAAGGATGGGAGGAGGAGGGATTACACTAGGGGCCAATAACGTTTTGATTCAGCACATATGAACAGCCACTAAACTTGCTGTTAGGAACAAAGAGCAGAGTGATGCCTCATCAGTTCTCTGCTGCTCCTTCACTGTCAAATCATCGAAATGTAATACATTTTCACATAAGCAGTGCAGCAGTAAAGGTCGAGGATTAAGGTTGGCTGGATCTCAAGATTGGCTGAACACAATTAACAGGTAATAAAAAGTTCTAAAAACTATCTATACATGTATCTATCTTGATAGCACGCGCCCTTTGGGTCAGTCTGAAAATACACAGGGGGGAATTTACTAAAATTGGAGCAGACAGAATCTGGAGCAGCTGTACAAAAGTAACCAATCAGCGTCTGTCATCAGCTTGCTCAGTAGAAATGGTCTGGTTGGCATGCACAGTCTGCGGCGGTCTTAGTAAACTCCACTCACAGTCTTTGGTGAAACACTTTGGGGGGAATTTATCAAAGGAATTGTGAATTTTAGCCTCTCACATCATTTTTTTTATGTGCAAATCTGCCTTTTAACATGTGCCCCTGTTTTGAACTGAGCTTGCACTACTATTTTAAATTGCACATTTTTTGCACCCGTTTTCATCTGCACTTGTTCTGGGCTGTCTGAAACTGGAGCATCACCTAAGAAAACAATCAGACAAAAAGTCCCCATGACCACTTCAAGAAGCGACCATTAAGCTTTTTGCCTGGAGTTATGAGTCTTCTTTCCTGGAGTAGATTAAACCTCATTTATCAACATTACACTAGCATCATTAATCTGGCGCAAAGTGCGTCAAATATATTTTGTGCAAGTTCAAACACTCGCAATTGCTATGAATAATTCCCCCCATTGTGTCCTGTATGCACGAAGACTGAACTTGTGGATATCAGCAACCAATAACTGTAGCTTAAAAGGTGGCCATACACTTTACAACCATCGCAAGACCTTAGTCTTGCGATGGTTGTAACGTAATTTTAAAAAAAATGTACGATCTGCCCATCTTGGACAGGCAGATCGTACTTGCGATGATCGCAATGCTGAACGGGCAGTGTGCGCGTTCGGCATTTGTCTCCCGAGCACCGTTCAAACCAGCCGAATATCGTAAGATCTTCGGCTGGTTTTCTAGCGTGCTCCTTAGACAAAAGACGTGCGACCATACAGTGGAAACGGTCGCACGCCTTCATTCACACTGCACGATTCTCGTACGATCGCGGGATTTCCCGCGATTCTCGTACGAGAGTCGTGCAGTGTATGGGTACCTTTACACAGAACTAAAACCCTCTTTTCCTCGGTATGCAGTCAATTGTTGGTCTAGATTGGATTGCTGGTTAGTGTACTTTACGGGGAACACAGATTCCTTCCCTCTACTACAATCATACACAATCTAGCACCAGTTTTACTTGCCTAGGGGAAACCTGCAAACTCCCATGGAAAACATACCAGCTCCATAACGCTAGAGTCCTGCGTGAAATTTATAGCAAATGTACTTGCTTATTAGGAATTGCACCAATGACTCTAGTGCTCCAAGACTTACAGTGACCACTAAAACACCAAGAGGCCAAAATGAATGTTTAGCAAAATAATCAGGATTGTATTTTTCTAACACACCTGTGATATCCTCATGGCTGGGTATGTTAAGTTGCTTTAGAAAGCTGTGGGCCAAGATGAGCTCTTTTGTATGTTCTTCTTGTGCTCTGAGGGTCAAGGCAGCCAGCAGCTCGGCATTGTTGGAAGTGCTCCTGTAGTACAACATATGAGCCAGTTCCAGTGAATGGGCTTTTCTCCTCTGAGCAAACACCTAGAATATAACCAAATGTATGAACACAAAAACAAATGAGTGAAGTGAAGAAACCTTTTATTCACACAGTATATTGATAATGGGAATATAAAACAAACAACTTGACTATGCAGCGCAGTGTAATGAGTACTAAGCCAATAGACTTGATTTTAACACAATCACTTAAATCCTTAAATGCTGTAGGCAGGTTGGTTGGTAAAAGTATATCAGGCATGTTAACCAATTAAGTCCCCCGAATCGTTTTCCCCCATAAACCCCTTGAGTTTCAGTCGGGTTTTTTTTTAAGATGTTTCAATTTCACACCTAATGCATTTTGTAGGTTACCCCAACATACGCATGTTTTCTTTTCGGGATAGTTAAGAAATCGATATTAAACCCTCCTTTTAAAAAAAAATATGTGCTATAGGGATGCCTACCTTTGTCTGAGGCTGTTGTTCTTTAAAATCTTTCCATTCCTCGTTTTCAAGTGGGTCCCCGCAGCGTTCTTCCCCCCCGCCCGCTCCCCTGTACAGGTGCCACCATCGTTCTAATGGAGGCACCCGTGCCCGCAGTGGCTGTGTGCATCCATAGACACACACAGCCCTGTCCACTCCCCTTCTCTCTTTGATTGATGGCTCCTCTGCCATCAGTATCCTCCTCCTGCAACCAGGAAGTACGGGGAACGGAGGATCACTTCGGGATCGGCAGCGGGGACGAGCGTCGATGACAGTGGTGTTGGGAATGACGGGAGAAAAAGGTTCTGGGCGGTTTTTACCAGAACAGAATGCAATAAGGTAAAAAACGCCCTAACATTAAAACTACTTTAATGATGCACATTATTTTGACATTTTATTTCTAGGTTTTCATAATTTAAATTAAAAAAAAACAAAAACAAAAAAAAACTGTTCTGTAATAATTTCCAAATGAGCTTGTTGTTCACGCAGTGCACAGACCCCCTAGTAAAATATAACCGATAAAGTCTGTTCATGAAAGCATAATACGTAAATGTGATTTTTATGTAACATAGCAGAATGGTAACGCTTACTTTTATTTTAGGATTCCCCTTTTGATGCTACATTTCAGCGTGCAGCAGAAGATAATGTTTGCATAAACCGATGGTATAACATGAAGAAAAGATCAATTTGGGCTAACAGCACACAGGATGTGCAGTGAGGAGTGTCTGCTACAGAACACCTCTATGGAGTGCTGTGTTGCAGGATCAAAAGCTCAGGAGCTGATCGATTTCATTCCTGGGCTTATTGCTGGACCCCAGCTGTTACTGACATCACAGACAGCAGTTGCACTGCAGAAGCTGGTTGGGACCATCAGGAACCTCTCAGTCCTAATGCAATTTTATACACTCCTGGGACAAATAGCCGCTGTCCTACCAACATTTTAAAATGACATGCGAGACTCAAGAGGTTAAATGCAGATTAAAAAAAGTAGGATAACCATAAGCATTAACCATATTAATCCTACCAAGGGCCTCACTCCGTTAGTGATCAGCGTACCCAATATATACACTGCAGTGAGGGACCAGCAAGGGACATCATGTACTCTTTAATGTGTACGTAAAGCCAAAATGTATTTATTTCTTTGGGGTGACGTGGGAAAGGGTTAGTACCTCTATCAAGTTTTTATTGCTGTCTCCTGGCAAGATTCACCAGCTCTTTTTATCCCAGTGACCACTACCACCGAGACAGAATGTGATGAGAAAATCAGTTCAAACCAGAACAAGAGGTAAGGGTACATCTTTTAAATAGGGACACATTGCTCTGTGATAACTGTCCAAGAGGAGATTTCTTCACGCCTTGGAGAGGTTTTCACTTCCTGTTACATCGCCCAAGACAGGAAGTGAAGGGCATAGCAGGCAGCAAAAGAAAAACTGGCAGGGGTTTACATATCAGAAAACGAAAAAAAAGCTTTGGTTGCACATACATAACACTAAGGGATGTCCATTTATAGTGCATGTGCTACGGGTGGAATACAGGTTGCAGGGAGACTGAGTGCAATAAGATAGTAAGGCAGACCTGACACTGTGTATGCTTGGAAGCTAAAACATCTGTGTGCGAGTATCTGATTTTTGCTATCTAGCTTGCAAATGTGTTTAAAATTGAGGGGGTCTAGGGAATTGTAATTATACTGTGAAGAGACTCTGTCACTTTGCCCATCCATCACCGCCGATAGTAACCTTCCCTACACTCCACAACTGCTCCATTCCTCCATCGGAGCCAGGAGTCCATACCCTGTGTAAGCTCTGTGTTCAGTATTGCCAGAGTTTACACGGGGCTGATGATCTCATCCCCTCTCCGACCACGCAGGCCCAATCACTACATCTTGGGAGATGGCTTCCATAGTAACTGGAAGTAACCTGTGTTTTCTGAGTCCCTGACAGAGCAACAGAACAGAATACAGTGAAAGTGAGTATAAATGTCAAGAGAATCTGTCACTTTGCCCATTCAGATTCCGTTTCATGAGATGTAGAAAAGGCTGGGGTCTTATTCAGTTTTTACCAAATGGCCGAAGGTCAGATGGTATATCTAAGTGGGTGCTCGAGAGCTCTGAAAAACATACATTTTATAGAGACCCTGTCAAGCCTCGAAAGAAATGCATTTCTCAGGTGCTGAAGAGGTATAGCATATTCACCTCTCTGGCACCCATGTGTTCTCTCCCCCCTCCCCTCAGTTCTAGCACTGCTCTCTTTAGCACTTTCTCCTGCAATTGACACTTCTGCGTGCGTCAGATTCCTGGGTTCCCTGCTGTGCACTACATTTTATCACACAGCCACTTACAGTTAGCAAAATCTTTTGGCCTGTTTTTTTTTTTTTTTGGTCGCCTTGGTGAGGGCCATCTCTGCTTGTTTTTGGATTCTCTACTTGTCTGACTCACCTGCCAAGCTCGGAAAGTCATGAACCCTGCAAAGAAGAAGAGGAGGAAGGACGTTCCAATCTTCAGATCTGTAAGGACCACCATCCCCACATTGACAAACACAATGCCTCCACTAACCAGCAGCATAATGTTCAAAAAAGCGCGATCAAAGATGGACGTTCTCACTTTTACCACAGGGAGCAGCTGCTCTAACCCCTCCAGGGGTATATCCTTAAAGCATTTTAAAATCATATGGGAGTTTTTAGGGCGAGCGGCTAGTAGGACCCGCTTAAAGTATCGCCTGTTGGAGGAGAAATCAAAGCATTAGAAGATACAACTGCAAACAATAAATGAAAAACAGATAATAGCAGTCTAATACTAGGCATTTTTATCATGTGCCCCCTTCTTATGTGTAGTAAAGAAGATATACAATCTATAATCTTTACATATTGCTCACAGCACAGAGATTGTTGTTCAAAGTGCATAACTTGTAGGGTAGTGTAGTAGATGGTGATGAACAGTGAATTGTGTATGGTGTTAACCTATTTTTATCAAACGGTCACAAAACTGGACAATTTAAATTATATGTAAAGCCATTTTTTCATTCTGAATAGGGTCCAGAGGGGTTAAAACCGCTAAATCAGCTTTGTTTTGGATCCCGTTAGGGAGATTTCACTTCATTTCCCATCCTGTGGACTCAGCAGTAAGTGAGCAGATATCTTTCCAATGTGAAGGAAATTCCCTCTTAGACAGTTGTCACAGGAATAAGTGCCCTTATTGGAAGATTTATATGTTATTTGAATATGTAGATTTTTCTTATTAAAGTCAAGCTTGGCCCTGTCCCTTCCTATCCCCCAAGCTGCCACAGTGCTCACCCTAGTGACGGGTCACCTCAATGACTAAGAGGTGGTAAGAGACAGGACCAAACATAACTTTTGCAGCTAAAACATATTTACCTGAAGCGGCCTATAGCTCTGGATCTACTGATTGAAGTAAAATGGGGTTTTCACTGAAGGCAAACCCTGGTTATGCATCGTTTATCATATTCTCAGCCTGAACTGCTCCTATCTGTGACAGACCTGACAATTCAAATTTAGTAGACTAAATTTATACAAGAGCACATTTTAACTGTGGTATGAAGCAGCTGCAAAACCTCTCATGAAAGCCTTTCTGTTGGCAGGAAATAACTGACTTAGAGAATACTGTTACTTTAAAAATACTAAAAGCTGCAGACAGATATGAAGTGCAGGTACCCAGAGATGCCTTCACACACAGATAGCAGCTTCCAGTGTCCTATTGTTCACACAAATTCTGGGCAAAACGTTCACACTTCCGAGTAGTGTTGGAGAGTGATGCTAAGCCTCCTTCCCCTGCATTCCTATTTGTTCACAATGATTGGAAGCCTAGCTGATGTCAATAGGAATGTGCAAGAGGCTATGAGTTAGTGCTCAAAACAGCCTGGCATTTGGGCAAACCAGTAGACACTAAAATCTGCTGGTGCGTGTTCCTCTGGATACCGGTTAGCAGTTTTCACTATTCTTAAAGTTGCTTTAATGGAAGGGTCATTGCTGTAAATGAAACAAAGAAAAGTTCACTGGCACTCCGAGATGTTAAGCATGACAGTTGGCATGACAGGATAGGTATCGCAATGTGAAGCAGCGTTTCGGGAACCCAATTTGGTTCCTTCCTCAATCAGTTCCTGAGCTTTTGCAGTCACTTTGTTTGCATGAGGAAGGAACCAGATTGGGTTTTGAAACGTTGCTTCACATTGTGATGCCTATCCTGTCATGACAATAAAAAGGATTTGGCCCTTAGGATCTCGGAGTGCCAGCGAACTCTTCTTTGTTCCATGAATTCATTTGCGGCGCCATCCGCATACACTGTTGCACCCGCTCAAGATCTTTGGGAATATAGTACCGGTCAGGAGTGCGATCAGACACACTGCATGATATCTAGAGTCGCTGATGATGATTATGCCGCACCAGAGGGTAAGCAGCCTATGTATTATAAATACTAACAGTAGCCACAAGACATCGTAAATATAATGAGATGTTTGTAGCAGCTACAAATGTTTGCTAGAAAGCAGCTTGTGTGGCCCTTACCCAACATAACTCACAGTGCATCAATATACTATATACACAATTCCCAGAACCTGGGAAGGGGTATATGCTGTGCATACAGTCATATCATGTGTTGTGTATACTGTTTATCACAATGTTCTATATTTACATTGTACATGACGAGCACCCAGAAACAAGTCTTGCCTTTCTGGTAGGGTGCGACAACTTCGGGAGAAGAGAGATTCCTTGTGCTTGGAGGTCATCTGGAAGGTTAGGGGTCCCAGTCTCTGTCCAAGTGCCCAGTAATGGATATATTCATATTTATCAAGATTCACATAAACCTAAAAAGCCACAGCAAGCTCACATGTGATATGAATAACAGTATCCCATCAGTCTGATAAAAGAAAGAGTTGAATCACTGAAATGTGTGTGAAATCCAGGTAGCAGCACATACCGGGGGAAACACTACAACTCTACTCTGGTCTGCTTTAAACTCTGTCGCTGTAAGACAGTAATAATGGTCTTAGACAAACTAATGGAGTACGCGGTCCAGTTCTGGTCACCAGTACTAAGAAAAGATGTCCTTGAGTTGGAAAAAGTCCAGCGAAGGGCAACCAAACTAATTAGGGGTATGGAGGACCAGAGCTACGAGACGAGGCTACTAAATTTAAACATGTTCACATTAGAGGTGAGGAGATTAAGGGGGGATATGATTTCCATGTACAAAATGTTTAATGGTGGTAGCAACATTAGCGATAAACTGTTTAAAATTAACTCCGTTACAAAAACTAGAGGCCATCACCTAAAATTGGTGGAAAAAAAATTCCAGCACAAGGGGCGAAAGGGGTTCTTCACAGTAAGATCAGTTAGGGTCTGGAACTCACTGCCACAGGCGGTGATTTCAGCAAATAATGTGGAATTGTTCAAGAAACTTTTGGACGATTTCTTAAGGGACCGTAATATACAGGGGTACGGGTACTCCTAGAATGAGATCCTAATAGGTTGGACTTGATGGACTAATGTCTTTATTCAACCTCAAATACTATGTAATGCAGATGGCTGACCAATGTCAAGAAAACACCTCGAGCATAAAAACACATAAAAGATGAATGTAGTCATGCATCCAGCACTGATGGTAACATCTCTGCTGAAAGTGTATATGACTTCTAAAAATGAATATGTCATATGTTAAATATACATTTCAAAGTGTTTGTTATAGCTCTTTAAACACTTCAGGCGGGTTCATGTATATGTACACCCCTCGCCTGGAGTGGTTGTATCAAGAACCCAGCTGCTGCTTTAGCTGTGTTTTTGGTATAATTTTAAACAGCCAGCGATGGCTGTTAAGGTACAAGCGATCTGGTGGCTGTATAGCCGCCTGATCATTTGTACCGAGCAGTGGAGTGTGCTCCCCCCCTCTCCGCTGCCAGTTACCGCAGATTCTGCTGTCCACTATGCGGGCCTGGGACAGTCATGGCCTGTCTCCCCACACTGATCTGAGGGAGATCAGCAAGCTTCTAGCCACGGATCTCTCCTCTGATCACTGGACCCGGACGTGATGTGTATTACATCCCTTCTGGTGTCACTGTTTACAGTCTCGGGCTCTTAGATAGGAAAATGTGCTGTAGTCCTTACACACTGCTTGTCCTAAGGTGACCTTACACACTGCTACAGAGGATACTGGTCTATTCCTGATGTACTGGGAGGTTCAGCTCAAACTCTTACACATACAAAATCTGAAATTCTGAGCTTTTGTCAATGTGAATGTCAGTTCTATATCTTCCTTTCATACACGGAGCTCAGCGTTCATAAAAGATCACCTGATTTTGACATTTCCTGCCTGCACTGTAACATGAATTGTGATAGCACAGTTCATTCATTCGTGAAGTGTTCCGAATTGCTCTTTAAAAGGCCAACATAAGCTGCACAACCTAAACCTTTCACATGAGGGCCAAAACAGATTCCACTACAAAGTAAGCCAGGATTAAGCATCCACGTATACACATCAGGCATACTATAGTAATGTGTAAAGGTGTACATCAATCACCTGGACTCCATCCTGAGGGTGATGCACAATTAGTGCATAAGCTAAAGCATCCTCAGACAAAACATTAAAGTTAGCCTGATCCAGAACTGGCTGCAGATGCTCCAACACCTGTTTTTCTCTGGATAGCTTTTCTGTGTCTGTTAGGCTGCTAGAATCCAGCACAGCCTCGCAGTCAGGATTGATGGGATCATACAAAGCCTAAAAGAGACAAAGTGTAATGCATCAAAAAAATTCTCAAACAATCCTATCCATTGCAAGTGCTCATTATGTTCCAATAGACTTGTGTCATTTCCCTCTTCTATTACATTTCATGGGGAAAAGTACAGCAAATTAGTGCTGAGGATATGCTCAAGAATCAAGCTTGTAAATGCACATTTAACCCTTACACTGCAGAGGGATACCACTGGAAGGGTCATTTTGGTATTTGTTTCCCAGAATTCAGCTTTAAAGAGACGCTGTCACCTTGCCCAAACATATGCACCACCCCCTTCATTTTTGAATACAGATACCTTGCCAGTGCTTCCCAGCTGCTTTTTCCTCTGTTGCAGCTGGCAATATTAACCACCATGTCATACGCTAGGGGAAGCAGTGATGTCACTTATTCTTTCATGTAACAGAGGTCAGGCCTAGTGATTGGCACCTAGACGTGAGCAATGTCACATGGGAGGAGGTCACATGCTCTGCTATAACAGAAAGCACTGAGTGTTGCCAACAACTATGATGGAGGAAGGAGTAGATGAGAAGAACTAGAAAGGTCAGTATAAGTGGGTAGGTGATGGGGTCCCTTTGCAAAGAGACCATCACTTTGCCTTGAATGGGTGGGTGAGGTGACTGTCTAAGATTACAGCAGAAGAAATGGAAGTGATATCTCACACACAGCTCTCTGTGCAGTAATCCCTTGAGGAATACAAAATACTGTCACTTGGGTACGCCCTCTCATCTGGGAGCCAATACCAAGCAATAGGCTATGCCACACATTTATACACATGTTCAGTGCCTCCAATGTGGGATCTTAGACAGGGGGATGATGACCCCCCCCCACACACACACACACACTTGATATATCTGGAAGCACTGCTCCATGGGAGGGCTCTGATGGCATATGGAGGAGGCATGGGTGCATGACATACTACCAGGGGGCGGGATCGCTACATGGGCAAAGTGACACTGTTAATAAGTTTATGGGCTGTGCAGCCTGTAATGCAAATGCTGCTATACTCAGGACTGGACAGCAGCAAAAAGAGCCAGGCATGAACAATGAGATCAGTGGATAAAATGGAGGGAGGCATCCTCTAATCTCATGAATGTGAAGGATAACTTCCAGATTACAGAACACTTTAATGTCCGATATGAAGGCTTCTAACAAGAAAGCGGTATAGTGGCATGTGGCAAACATCATGTGAGTAAATGTCAAATCTGACAAAATTATTTTCTAAAGTCTAAAAGGGGGTTATGAGAATATGGTAAAAGTGGAGTTTTCTTTAAAATGAATCTTCAATAGTTTTAGAAAGAAACCAAAGAAAGAACATTCACCTGAAGCTCCCCGAGAACTGCATGGTAAGGCTGGAGGAGAGAATATTCTAATTGCTCGACAAAGGAAAGAAACGTCTGCTTCTCCAATTCACTAGAGGAGTGAAATTCCTGAAAAATATCAAAGTGTTGTATCCTTGTTAGTAATAAACTTAACACAAAAAGTATATCACTGTACAAATACACCAGAATATGTACAAAAGCAACTTACTTTGACAGGATTTAAAAAATATACACAAAAATGTTTTTAATTTTGATTGGATGCATTCTAATGCTCTCCCTTTCCTCACTCTTAGCAGGGGAGTGAAAAAAGGTGAGTATGTGGTGCAGGGGAAGGGCAGCACAGTGGCTCGGTCCCTGGTTCAAATCTGGGGACCTGGGCAAGGAATTTGCATGTTCTCCCTGTGCATGCGTGGGTTTCCCCTGGGTACTTCGGTTTCCTCCCACACTCCAAAGACATGCTGGAAGGTTAATTGGCTTCTGCCTAAATCAGTCCTGTATGTCTTCATGTGAGATAGGGACCTTAGATTATAAGATCCTTGAGGGCAGGGACTGAACTGAATGTGCAGTATGTAAAGTGTTGTGTATAGCGTATAAATAGCTATAATAATAATCATAAGGCATGCACGGATACCGATACTAGTGTTGGTGCCGATACCGAGTATTTGGGCAAGTACTCGCACTCGGCCAAATGCTCCCGATACTGGAACTTACAGTATCAGGAAGCCAAGCAGCGAGTAATTACACGCCGCCCGGCTCCTGATTGACTGGGAAGCTGGCTCCATGCTCCCTAGTGGGCATGGACTATGCCTGCATACACTAGGTTTATTTATTTTTTTCATTCTAGTGCATGTATGCAGGTGTTTATCATCTCTCTCACTACTCCCCAAGCCAATGCATTCATCTGCCTTTTTCTGCATGACAGACCTATCTTTGTACACATTGATAATAATGCTGAATACTTATCTTTTGGGCAAGCAGCAAGTTCATTCTTCGCTCTCTAGCAGAGCTGTTGGCCCCACTGCTCTCCGACACTCCAGTGTTTGTCAAATAGCATGTCCCTTCTTTTGTGCTGTGGTTTCAACCGCCAGCTGCTACATCACTACTCTGTTCTGTATTGACGTAACAGCCAGTGGGAGAAACCGCAACGCACAGCAGGGAACAAGCTATTTGATCAGTGCGAGAAATGTAACATCTTTTTCAGGAAGTTGCTGATTTAAGAAACAGGGTCGCTTAATTAATTCGTAGGCCACCAGCTACCTACCGTTAAATGTACGTTAAATGTAGTTCTTTAATTTAATTTAGCCAGAAGTTTGTTCCCTGCAGAGGTTTTGTTATTTTTTCACGTCACCTGAAGAAAATGACAAGTAATCACATTGTAGCTAGTGAATGGACCACCGGCATCTTCTAGTCAATAATTTTTCGAGAACAGTAAAAAGGCAATTAAAACCAGTAATTATATATATACATATATACACACACAAACATATACAAAACACATACATATACACACACACACACCAAACACACCTGTGAACAAATCTAAAAAGATGCATTTTGTAAACAATCCATCATGGGTCTTCACATCATTAATAATGATGTGGATGGACACGTAGCTATCTCAGGAATTAATATAGATAAATAAATGGACCTGAGGGATTTAACACAACTGACTATCTGGCCTTTAACCTGCATGTTGGGGAAGAACTGCTCTAAGGCAGGAGATTCCTATTAATTAATGAGCTCAGCAGTAATGGCTTTCACCAAGCCCGGCTGATCAAGAGGTAAACCAGCAAAATATGACAAGTGCTCCTGGCCATAGTTTATAGTGCCATCTCAGGGGGTATTTCCAGAGAGAGAGTGCAATAACCAGCTGGCTATTCTGAAAAACAGAAAGGTCACTGTTCATTAATGGATTTCCTGCCAGACCTGAGTATCTGTGCTCTATATAACAAGAAATACAATTTGCTGGTGAATGGATAAAACATGTGATGGGCTTCTTTATTAAAAGAATGCTGTTTATCAGAGGAATTATCTGATCTTCCCAATTAAAGCTGTACTCCAGGCAAACAGCCAAATATAATTATGAAAACATATACAAGGGTGTTTTACCTGTCCATGCAGTCCTCTACACAGTCCTCCCACACAGCCCTGTCTGGCAGGGAAGGGGATCTGATCTTTCTCTACTGCAATGTCCTTTTTCTTACAGGTCTCCTCCTGTATTGCTTGATTAATATATCATTTTCATATAAAGTTATTATCTTGGATTACACTAAAGCTAGGAATAGAATTAATTCTATCAATCGTCCGTGTCGCTTATTACAGAGCAACAAAATTAGTAGTAGTCGCTCTGACCAATCAGTTCATTGTTATATTAGGCTCCTGGACTGTCTCCCAAATTTGAGTTGAGTCGTCAGCTTTTGTAGCATTTAACCAATTCACACCCTGCATGGTCATGGCGATTATGATGGGAAAACTGCCAACATGACTACTGAAACTCGGCAGGCTTGCAGTGATATCTGCAAGATGGGTCTCCCTTGCTCAATTGAACAGAAACTGAGAATGAGACCTGAGACTTCTGTAAGACCTCCTTCACATGGCCATTCATTTCCCACATCAGCGTATATCTGCAGCAGATATGTCCAGAGGCATTTGATTAGCTGAACACAGGAAGCCTGTACAAATCAATGACAGTCTGACACTGTCCGTGGCTGTTCACATGTAACCACTCAAGGATTGCATGCGGCTAGGGACAGATGAGTGGCCCTGTATGTAGACAGTTTACGTCCAGGAACGCTCATCTGTCCCTAAGTGGGTATTCGTTCCATGGCATTTATGTGTACAGGTTCAGTGGCCACTGATCTGGATGGCGAACAACCATAAACAGCCTTAACCTGTCATCTATTATCAGTTAATGTTAAGTAAATGTTTTGTTTTTTTGAATTGTGCGTGTGTGTGTGTTTTTTCACTAGTACTATGTCAAGAGACTTAATTGCATATATAATCAATCAGTTTCCTCTGGGTCATTGCAAATGATTTTAGGATTACAGTGCCAGGCTACTGTAGATCCCTTCAAGATCTGATTATTAAATTCTGAGATCAAGCACTACAGAACTTCACCTCCCCACCCTGTGACTGGACAGTGAAAGTAGAAGCAGAACACTGACATCATTTTCCTGTCACTCTTCTCTAGTCTTTTAGCATGTTCTCTGCACTGCAACACACTTGATTATCTTCCATTTGCCAATTCTCCCTCAGCCAGTCTGAGCTGGGCAGTACAGGTACCAAGTTTAATTCAGGTATTTACACTGCATGCTTTAAATTTAAAAAAAAAAATACAATGTTGTGTTACTGATTACAAAAATGCACTAGTTTATGTTTTCTCCATCTGTCTGAAGTTCAGCTTTAAAGAATACATTTGATTAAAGAATCATGTACCGATTAAAGACGAAGGCTGCCATTGTAAACCTTTAGAAAATGACACTTTCCTGGTTCTTATAATCCAGTGGCTTCAAAACTTTTTGCATCACAGACCATAGGTAGGTAGATCAGGAATTCTTAGTTCAACAGTCGTATGCGTGTTGAGGTCAAGTGATATAGAAGTACTGTAGCCAACCCAAAAAACTATTGGAGAGGGTCTACATTGCCAATTCTCTGGTTTCAATATTTCAAATCACCAACTCTGACTTTCTCAGACTTTCATTCTTTGCATGCTTGCTCTGGGTCTGTGACACAAAGGGGACATCCTAAAACATATAATGTGAAAATGGCTTAAGATAGCTTAATGGGTACAAAAGTGCCTAAACCTCAATCAATTGCCTTGAGCCTTTCCACAACCTAAGCTTTCAACTGCCCAAACCTATTCTGGAAGTTTCACAGATTTCAGTTTCCCACAAGGCAAATGAGTGACATTAAGTTTGTGTTTTAGGGAGTTTAATATACAAAAAAGAACTTAGATGTTGACCAGTTTTAGGCAGTTTTTCCACACATTAAAAAGGAAAACTATGAGGTGAGTGAAAATCAAGTTCAAGCCGTTATGCGACAATGAAACTATCACACATCGGCTCAATATAAATCGGGAAGTGAGCAAACACAAACCGTCGCTCGCTCACTTCTCGATCATCATCTGCAGGGACTCCCACCCTCCAGCACTGAGTGGAGGAACAGACGGGGGAGGGTACAGCTGGCTCTGCCTCTACATGGGCAGAGCCAGCTGTCATTCACGTAGCTGGGTGGATCTCGACAGCATTGTCGGGATCCGTCCCGGCTGCGGTGGTCTCAGTATACAGCGAGCTGTAGCTCACTATGTACTGAGCTTTGGGAGGAGGTTACTATATGTCCCCCCGTGACCCCTAAGAGAACTATGGGGAAAAACACTTACCCCGTAGTTCTCTTTTAAGCCATTTTCACATTAAATGTTTTAGGATGTCCCAATACAGACATATTTAATTTAGATATGTACTTTTAGAATTGGAATGCATACAGGGAACACTGTCTACCAGCTCAAGCCTTGCAAATTTCCAGGTACAAATGAAGTGCACGAATCTCCCTTAGGTCAGCAATTTAGTGACTTATTTTGCTTACCTGAATGTAATGCCAGAAAGGTATTCCTAAACACTCCCACAGTAAGCTCCTCATTCCCTCACATCCAGAAAACCTAAAGTGTTCATATGTCAGGTTCAAATGAGTCACTTCATTACAGCCAACAATCAGATACAAACTTACCTGCTGCAGTGAACAAGCTTACATGAGAAAGAAGGGTGATGACTCGTTAGTGTACAGCTCCTTCACTGTCAATTTAGCAGACTGGGAGTGTGTTCCCAACCAAGCTGAGCAGAGGCTGTAATGAAGGCTTTGCTGTGCTGTCTGCCCCAAGACTGACTGAAAGTTATAAATCCCATGACAAGCTAAACAGTTCCCAAAATAAGCACAGGCTTGTGCTGATGGGCTTTTACAGTCTAAAAGGTGCCCAGACACTGCACGATTCGTACGAGAATCGCGTGAAATCCCGCGATCGTAGATAATCGTGCAGTGTATGGAAGCTGTGTGACCGTTTCTACTGTACGGTCGCACGTCTTTCGTCGACCAAGCAGGCTGGAAAGCCCGTCGGGAATCGTACGATTCTCGGCAAGTTAGTGGCCTGCTTGTTCGACAACTGCCGAACAGGCCGGTGTGCGCATGCGCACACTGCCAGTTTGCAGTCATTGGAAGCCCACCACTCATTGCAGTCATCGCAAGCCCGCCCCTCAGGGGGCGGGCTTGCGATGATTGCAAGTACGACCTACCTGTCAGGAATGTGCAGATCGTATGTTTTTTTTAAAGTACTTTACAGACCTTGCAAGACAAAAGTCTTGCGAGGGTTATAGAGTGTATGGGCACCTTTATACAAGTTTATGGAAATGCAAAACCTGCTTGGAGCAGGTCAAACGGAGGTCATCTGTCAATGAATTCTGAATGATCTCACATGCATCTCAAACTGATGCCATCAGCACAAGCCTAAAGCTAGTTGACACAGGACTTGTTAACCTGTGTATTTATCTGCTTGCCTTAAAGTGCATGTAACGGCTATTTTTGTTTCGCTGCAGTTGCTGTTTTTTTTTATGCGCCCTTTCAGTAAAAATTGTCTGCTCAGTTCAAATCCCGGCTTAAAGAAGAACTCTGGGCATAATAATCCCATACCCTTGCAGTGGGGCAACCCCTGCACTGCAAGGGATAAGTGCTCATTTTCATCTAGGGACCAAAATAAAAAAAGGTTGTACTCACCTGAACCTCTGAGACAGCTGGCTGTTAGACCGGTCCCTGCCACCTCTCTCCCCATCCACTCCAGCGAGGTAAAGTCATCACGTCCAATACAGTGTATACGATGCAAGGATGCAGGGGAGCATTCTATTGCTGGAGTGGAGGAAGAGACAAGCGGCATGGTCCGGAGTAGTAGCCAGGCAGCTCTGAGGTTAAGAGAGTATAACATTTATTTTCATCCCTAGACAAAAACAAGCACTTAACCCTTGGAGTGAAGGGGTAGCCTCACCGCAAGGGCTAAAAATAATTATGCCCAGAGTTCTTCTTCAATACTAAGGCCCATCAATAGTCCCTTGGTGACACCAGCTGTTTAACAGGAGCATGTTTGTTAGCCGGGGTTGCTTGTCCCGGCTTGTAAACAACTTAGTGTGCCAACACACATGTGACCAGCATGACAGCATTATAGGTGCTTACTTGCTTGTGTATGAGAAGATCCTCCACAAGGAAAACTGTGAGAGGAGGGACAGAAGGATTGGCCATTTATGCCCACATCTCACTCATGTGTATGTGTTCCAAGGAGCTATGGTCGCTGGGATATGTAGTCTGAACGGCCCACATTTCACTCATGCCTACTGACAAGAAACTATGGTGTCGGGATATGTATTCAGAGTGGCCCACATTCCACTAATGCGCACTTAAGCCAAGGATCTATGTCCTTATGGATATATAGTCTAAACAACCCACATTTTACTCATGCACACTTGTGCCAAAACAGCTATGGTTTCTGGGATATATAGTCTGAGCGGCCCCCATTTTACTATGGTCTCTGGGATATGTAGAACAGGTTTTAACATGCATGTCTTATTTGCCATAGGATCATCCAATACATTTTTAGAAGATTCCAATATTGGGGGAATTATATGCAATATTATTAGTTTTTTTTTATGATGTGCTCAACTTTAAAATTAAACAATTGAAACGTTCAGAGAATGAAAGCAATAACAGTGACTCTGTATAGGATTACAAGTCAACGACTTCCCACTCACCTGAACCAAATAGTCCACTAGCTGACTCTTAGAAAAGGGAATATATCTTTCCTGATATTGTGCACCCCAATCTTTGGGCTTACTGGGTTTCCACATCTTTCTATATTCGGACATTTTTGTCGCAAGTGAGCCCATATTGCGGGTTAATGAATGGCCTATCCCAATCCCTGTGCGGAGAGCCCCCAAGGCAGTTAGCAGCATGTTGAAGGCCAGCAATGTCCCTGGGTAAGAAAGAAAAACACAGACACTAATGAACAAATTATACACTGAAGAATGTATCACATCCAAGAGCCTGTAAACTGAAGAAAATCAATAACACAAAAATGGAGGCAGTCAGAGAAATTGAAGGTTCTGCTGTTTGTTTTAAAAAGAAAACCTTTTTTATAGTCACATAAAACCCAGTATATGTAAATATTACACTATTGTATCTTATTAGAAATATATACCAGAGTTGCCACTGCCACTAGCAAAGCATATAAACCTTGTATTTCCTGCATAAACTGTATTATAGAGCTCCCGCAGATGACATACATAACTTACTTTTGTTTCTTTTTGCTGGTTCTGCAGTAAAATTATGTTGCTTGCAAAAAAACTACAGTAGGTGTGGATACAAGACCAGTCAACCTGCACAAGGAGAGAGCAGCAGTGACTGGTCTGTATTACAGGAAGCTCCTGTACAGATGTGGAAGAAATACAAAACGCTAACCAGGATTCAAGTAAGAATACACATGCCTCTTGTATTTAGACAATATTTTTTCTTATCCTGGAGTTGACGTTTATATCAGTCTAGCACGTGTGGATGGGATGGGAAGTGTGAGACTGTTTATAACAAAGCAGGTACACTTCTTACACATCTCACAAAAGGTAAACAAGCCATAGAAATCTATATTACCAGAATCTGATTACAGCATGCATTGACATAAACCATGTTCCCCACAGGCCCTTCTTATATCTAAAAGTAGAAATACCCCACTGCTGCCCAGCCAAGGCAGTGTGAGGTCTCGGCATCTGGGATCTGGTTACTTCCACTTTGATTTGATAAGGAAAGCCTGCAGGGAGCATGGTTTATTTATATGTTAGTGTTACACCTATCCTTTAGCACTACAGAACCCATGCAATGCTGCACCAGGCCTTCAACAACTGTATATACACATACATATATATATATATATTTTTTATTTTTTTTTAAATCACATTTATACCTTGTTGTCTTTAAACAACACAAAAGCCCTAAATCTACTTCAGTGTAGCGTACATGTTAAATACAGCGATAACAATGAGTTTAGCTGAGGATTGTATGTTATTGCTGCCTATGGTCTTGAAAGTGACCATAATTGAGACTGGTCAGATCTACAATTATGTAAAGGGGAAGTATGCGGTCAGTGTTTTTCCCCATGGTTCTCTTTAGGGTTACGGGAGGACATAAACTAGCGTCCTCCCGTGACCCAAAGCTCAATATATCGCAAGCTACAGCTCGTGGTATACTGAGACCACCGCAGCCGGGACGGATCCAGACATTACTGTCCAGATCCACCCAGCTGTGTGAGTGACAGCTGGCTCTGCTCTGCCTATCTAGAGGTAGAGCTAGCTGTACCCGCCCCCTCCCCAGTCCTTTCCGCCAGTCAGCACTGGAGGATCGGAGCGGGGAATCCTTTCAGGGAGCCGTGACGGACGGCTCTCTGCAGGGACATGATCGAGAAGTGAGCGAGTGACGGTATGTGTTCGCTCACTTCCTGATCTATTGAGCCGACGTGTGACAGTTTCATTGTCACACGTCGGCTCGAACTATGAGGGTGAGTGATTTTCACTCACCTCATAATTCTCCTTTAACATTCTCACCTGTATGGCAGTTAATGCAAATAGGCACCCACCAGATTCTGGGATTGTAAACTCAACTGTGCATGCATGAGGGCGGTTCATTGACAAAAATACTCTGCAGGTAAGTGAAAAACCTTCACACAGGTACCCCAGACATTACATGCAGCTCATCCTTGTAGTGCCGGGGTAGCCCCACCGCAAGGGGATTGATTTTTTTCTGAAGAGTCTTTAAAGGAAACCTTCCATGACAAAGTCTGCATTTTGCAAGCTCATACCCCCAACACAAATGGGTTTAAAAATCTTTGTCACCAAGAAAAAATGACTTAAGTAGCCTAAACATGGGGTGAATTTCAACCAGTTCTTGATGAACCCAACATAATTTGCACAGTGGGTGTCCCTGTGGGCACCCTTCTGTCGGCATCCCTCGACCAGCTAATCAAAATAACAGGTTGGAAAATTCCCGGCCGAATGGAGCTTACAGCCAATCAGCTCCAAGCTCCCTTTGGATATTCCGCCAGTGGCCAGAATACAATGCAGAACAGCAGGGACATATTTGTACAGCGGTGATGGAGGAATCTGTTATATTGTCTTTGTTCAGCCTGCAGGTTGAATAAAGAAAATAGACCCGAGTATACCCGGCTTCACTTTGGTCCTTGCGGAAGGCATGGGTGATTTCACCGTGGGATGGCTGGACGTCCCATGAGAACGCACTCTTCCAATGAATGGTCTGGAGTGTATTCTACAGGGAGTTGGATTGTCCAGCTCTACAGTGACATCACCCATCCCTCGCCCAGCGTCATAGGCCAGGGCGATCAGTTTGTTTACAATTGGCTTTTTACAGCCATTTGCATTGGGAGGCCAGCAAAAGGGAAGATAATCCTTTCTGCTTACAGCACTACAAGTGTCTGCAGTCCTGCTGCCTCGCATATCCAGCTCCTATAGTTCCCAAAGAGAGATCAGTGGCCGCTGAGCCGGGACTATCTCATCTCGTAGGTTCTTAGCCATGCCCATTTACACACACGGAAATAAAGCCACCCTCCCAGGCTACTGATTCCACAGCCCGGACGCCTGTCCATACGTCACACAAGGCTGTCAGCTGCCATAGTAACAATCCCCCCTCCCCAGACAGAACAGCAAAACGCTAACCTCTGGGAGAACAGAGCTGACATTGAGATCCCGAGCATGCGCAGTACGGCACCTCCGACACTGGGTCTGCTGCGTGCTTACGTCAGACGGCGGAAGAGGAAAGAAAAGGGCACGTTGTGCGGTACGTGTTAGCGCCTCTGTGCCCGGTCTGCAGTGGAATGCACAAGTCATGCTGAATATTTATGTACAATGAGCAAAGTCTTGTGTTCATGAATAGAACGTACAATAAATCTAATGTACACTGCAGTAAAGCGCAATGATTTCGTTTTTCAACCTCATCAGAATTCTCCTGACTAATGACGCCCATAAATACCTGACTATTAACCCTTTTCATCCCTGTATCTGTGTCCTTAAAGGGTTAGTTCGCTTTTATTTTTTAGCCATTAACATTACATTAGGCATAAAATATATAATAAAATACTGCCTTCCGTTTTGAAAACTGATGCTTACATTTAATAATGCTGCTCCTCTGGGCTCAGCTTCTTTGTGGATGTGTGGCCCCAGGCCCTCATGAACGAGTGCTCAACTAGGAGAACTTGGCTAGGGTTAACCATACATGGGCAGTTTGCTCTCACTCACAGAATGCTAAGCTCAGCTGCGATGGAAAGTGAACTGCACAAGTCTTTTTTCACTTTCATTGATAAAGGTGGCCATACACTGTACAACCAGCGCAAGACCTTAGTCTTGCGATGGTTGTAAAGTGATAAAAAAAATGTACGATCTGCCCATCTTGGACAGGCACATCGTACTCTTGATCATCGCAAGCCCGCCCCCCTGAGGGGCGGGCTTCCGATGACTGCAATGCTGAACGGGCAGTGTGTGCGTACAGTACTTGGTATCTCAACATCCCTACCACTGAACATTAACATTTAAAAGGGACACTTACCAGGAACCACCACTGAAATCTGCATGTTGGTCTGTGTATTAAAAAGTCCTGACCCCTTCTGCACTGTATACGCTATGTCCTCACCTAAACAAAACAATTTTGGTGTAGTTTGTACTGTCCTGGCATTTTGGGGCCTCTGCAAATACAATAGGGAGTCATAATCATGTTTAACCTTTAAATTGTTTCCTTTTAACTTGATCTTGTGCAAAAATAAAACTAAAAACCCCAGTGGTTATTAAAAAACACACACAAAAAAGCTCTGTCTAAAAAAAAAAAGGTACTTAAAATCATTTGATTAAAGAGTTGCAAGACCGAGCAATTGTCAGTCAAACTATTTAATGGCCTGGAAATGAAGGAGTATTTACAGGCCGGTACCCAAGTGGTAAAGCAGAGACAGGAGAACAGCTGCGTGATTCTCAATGCACCAAGGCTTTGTACATGTAGAGGTCACCGGTGCAGCGTTAACCCTTTCACAGCTGGACGTTCAGTAATCTTTACATCGGCTGCATTCCCTTCTGCTATATGCTCATGTTTGATAAAGCAGCTATGCACTTATTAGAGAAGGGTCCCATAGAGTCTATTACTTGATAAATAGCTGCGATCAGCGGCTGAGAAGCCAGTGATTCCAGCCATCCATAAAAAGTGTGACCGTCACCTTTCTTTCAAGCGAAACCCGAACACTCTAGCGACGCAATTACATTTTTGGGGGAGAATGAGTTGCGGCTTATTCATATGTAAATAGCGCCACCCATTCAAATGTAAATGTCACAGTTGAGACTATTAATTTTGGTTGCCCTTGCCTGCCTGACATCTTGTGCCCGGGTTTCTGCTGCCATGAAATGTGGACACAGCATTCAAAACCTGGAATGTCCGGGTGAATCCTGGACAGGTGGCAACCCTACTGCTACCCTGCAATGCACCCTCCTCCTCCTCCGTGCTCTCCGCTGCTTGCTCACTCAGGAGGGTGGATTGTGAGCCCCCCAACCCACTACTAATGAGTCCAGCATTAAAGGAGAACTATGAGGTGAGTGGTTTTCACTCAACCTGATAGTTCGTGCCGACGTTTGACAATGAGACTGTCACACATTGGCTCAACAGATCGGGAAGTGAGCGAACACATACTATCGCTCGTTAACTTCTCGATCCTATCCCTGCAGAGAGCCGTGACTGTCACTCACGGCTCCCTGCAGGGATTATTAGATTTAGTAGGAATTGTGTAAGTTATGTTTGTGTGCACACTAAAAAATTATTTTATTGTATTTATATGGACAATATCAATTTAATAAACATTTACACAACTATCACGGGACCTGCAAAATAAGTAGCACCATTTTATATTCTACTGGCCACGTGATTTCAGAAGAGGTACGGTTCGGGGGCACTTTTGCAAACTTTGAAAACATGCGGGTGAAAAATGATTACAAAGTGAAAACTTGCCACCGGGGACTGGCCACTTGAGGTAAAAAATGGAGCGTAGGGCTCAGCAGTGAAAGGGTTAAAGCACAGGGGCAGTTAACACGTTATTATATAATGAGTCTGCCCACTAATATGTATATACAATACCTACTACATATATAAAGTATATATATTGTGGGGAACACATGCGTCTTCAACACAGTCCGATATAAATAAGCAGTTTTTATTTCATCCAGTAAGTAGGCAGTAACAGAACAAACAGCTTTCTTCAGCAAAACGGTAAAGTAAAAGGTTTCCCAGGGAAACATCAAACATAAAGAAAAAGTATTTCAATAAGATTGCACTGCGTAGTGCGTTTAGGTGATCTCACCAAGATAAGGTGCCCATACACTGCACGATTCTCGTACGAGAATCGCGGGAAATCCCGTGATCGTACGAGAATCGTGCAGTGTGAATCAAGACGTGCGACCGTTTCTACTGTACGGTCGCACGTCTTTTGTCTAAGGAGCATGCTAGAAAACCAGCCGAGAATCGTACGATTTTCGGCTGGTTTTTAGCATGATCGTAAGATCAATGCAGCACTTAGACTAAGGTCTTGCGATGGTTGTAAAGTGTATGGCTACCTATAGAGTCCACTTGCTTCTGAGCAGCCCCACACACAGAGCTTTCTGTCTGACTCTCAGCTTCCCCACTCCTCTCTCACCTGTGTTACCTTTTAAACATGAAGGGCTGTAGGGGAAGTACCTGCCCTCCCAAGTTATACCCTTCTTTGCTCTCAGCCCTTGACTCTCCACAATATGTATATATAGGGTATTTAGCTATTTATCAAAACTGGAGCAGACAGAATCTGGAGCAGCTGCCCATAGTAACCAATCAGCTTCTCTCTTCAGTTTGTTCAGTTAAGATTTGAAAATGAAAGATAGAAGCTGATTGGTTGCCATGGGCAACTGCTTGAAGTGGTAACCTAGTAACAGGAGAGGCTTCAGAGAACTGTGCTGGACAGAAGAGCTGAGGAGGTACATGAGGGGGGCACAGGGGTTACAGCCGAATCTCAGTCAATGGAGGTGGGTGGGCAGGAATTGTGTAAGGAGACCTGTAGAGAGAGGTCGGCTTGTCCCGCCATCATCACATCACAGGCCTATATACAGCAGGGGAATCTGCAAACTGACAGTCTCTTTATTGTCTAATGCAGGGGTAGGCAACCTTGACACTCCAGCTGTAGTGGAACTACAAGTCCCAATGAGACATTGCAAGACTCTTGACAGCCACAGGCATGACTCCCAGAGGCAGATGGACGATGGGATTGGTAGTTGTACCACAGCTGGAGTGCGGAATAGGGATACCACCTGTCCAAGATTCACCTGGACAGTCCGGGTTTTGAATGGTGTGTCCGGGTTTCAATGGCAGCAGAAACCCGGACACAAGACGTCAGGCAGACAAGAGCAACCAACATTAAGATAGCCCCCCACTAAAAATAGTTTAAACTGTGATATTTACATATGAATGGCTGGTGCTATTTACATATGACTAATTCATTCTCCAGAAAAAAATGTCCGTGTGTCGCTAGAGTGTTCGGGTTTCACTTGAAGAAAAGATGGCAACCCTAGTGCCGAGGTTGCCCACCCCTGGACTAATATCCCACCTGTGAGCACCTAACCTAAAAATACTCAAATATTAGCAAGCGAGAAATGTCAACAATACCAACTTCACAGTGCAAAGTCAGGTGTGAACCCGGGCCATTGAGAATCATGAGGTTTCTTGTGTTGGGCATTTAAAAGCGCTTTGCTCAATGCAAGCATTTGCGTGATATCGCGCAAAATGCAAATCGGCCGACAAACGCGCGATTTGCGAACCGCTCAATGTGAACGGGGCCTTAGGTGTGCACCAGGCCTAAATTTCTTGGTGCTCCACACAAAACAAATAATGCAGCAACGGGTATTATAAAGGACTTCCACAGGACAATAAGGAGGACAGTATAGTAGCTGTATTGTACCAGTGTTAGTTAGGTGGATGAGCCTAGCAGCTGCATTCATGATAGACTGAAGGGGGGATAGCCTGTGTATATAATTATTTGTAATTTATAATTATAATGAATCAAATAAACATATGAATTATAATATAGTATATATAGGGGGAATTTATCAAAACTGGATCAGTTGACCATGGCAACCAATCAGCTTCTCTCTTTCATTTTCAAAACTTAACACTGAAGAGGGAAGCTGATTGGTTACTATGGGCAACTGCTCCAGATTCTTTCTGCTCTGATTTTGATAAATTCCCCCCAATGTGTATATATAATCATAATATGTAACACAGTAAAGCTACAATATAGTGCAACATATATCATGTGTATATATAATCTGAATAATATTTGTATAAATATTATTATAATAGCAATATCATAATGCACCTCAGAGAGGCTAAAATGAAATAAACACAGCAATGTCTAAGGTGTTATCAGGATAGGAAGTCTGGTGAAATTTCCCCAAAGGGAACACAGATACAACAAAATCTAGCAAAAGATCCTTTCATACTCTATCCACAATAAAAAAATAATTGAGCTTTGGGTAACGGGAGGACGCAAGTTTGTGTCCTCCCGTTACCCTTCGGAGAACTATGGGGAAAGGCCCTAACCCCATAGTTCTCCTTTAAACCTAAAAATAAAAAGCAAACCTCAATAGGTACTGCATGAAGTACAGGGAACATCAGGAGGTAATGCATGGAATACAGAGGTCATCAGTAGGCGACAGTAGCAAGGAACGCAGGGTGCAGTAGTGA